GGAGGGGAGAGGGGAGAGGGAGAAGGGGAAGAGGGAGAGGGAGAGGGAGAGGGAGAAGAGAAGAGGGAGAGAGAAGAGAGGGAGGAGAGAGAAGAGAGAGAGAGAGAGAGAGAGAGAGAGAGAGAGAGAGAGAGAGAGAGAGAGAGAGAGAGAGAGAGAGAGAGAAGAGAAGGAGAGAGAGAGAGAGAGAGAGAGAGAGAGAGATGCTGAGAAAGGAGAAGAGATAGTGTAACAAAGAAAAAGGATAAAGAGAATATGAAAAGACAAGAAAGGTTCTGATGGTATGAATTATACTTTATTGGTAGACAGAATTGACACATGGACAGATGGTTAGATTAACGAGCCCAATGTAGACATAACTAGTGATTGCTTCTTTGATAACTACAGCACCTACCCATCAAAAATCCTTTTCTTTAATCAAGCCAACAGTAATGACAATGGCTGTCACCATCACCACCACCACCATGCAAATTACCATCACCCAAATATCTCATGGTTGCCACTATGTCCATATTCACCTATCAATCAACTCGCTCTCATCATCATCACCAACAACAGCACAGGTAGTATCAAGATCATCATTTTGGGGACAGCAAGTTGAAGTTAAGTCTTCCATGTATATGCTGTGAAAAAACCCTCAACTGTTCACATTACAAGGGCCAACCTTGCTAAAATAACCATTATTACCATTGTCATACACTGTTGAACACAAAAATTATCAAATATTAAGCAATAAGGTGATATAGGAAAAGTGGTTAAGGTATGCTGCCTGATGAAGAGCTGCCTGCAAACCACTGGTTCTTCAGCTGTGACATAGACCCCAGATGCTCAGTGCTATTGGCTAAGGCAAGGCATTGGCAGTTTGCTGGATGCTGTGATTGGCCACTCCCATCTTGCTTACTAGCTGAATGGGTGCATTCGGTCATCTCTCCCTCCTAAGCCTACTTGCATATGATGAAGTTACAATATTATTTCAGAGGACTCTAAACCATATTAAACAGAATAACATATACTCCAAGCCATCTTGTGAAGAGTAAGGGCGCAAATATTGGCATAAGTCCTAGTTTCAGCAAGTTGGTTAAGTTGGTATGTCCGAACCCTCCATCATCGGACACCTTAATTCCAATATTTCACCAGTTTGTGCATATATTAGTACAGTTTTGTAATGTAATTTTGAAACTATAAGATGGGAAATGTGTTATATGTAAAATCAACAGTGGTAGAAGGAGAAAGAAAAAGCAAAATAAGCAATATTGGAAACTGCTCCAGAGTTAATCATATTCCAAGAAAAATCCATAGACATGCATTACTTTAAAATTTAGTTGCCTCAATAAAAATAACATCATAAGCTCCATCTTTTAAGCACCAACAGCTAGCATACCTTAAAAGCTCTGTGTGCCCTTAACACTGTAGAGCAGAAGATGAAGCGTAGAGTCAAAAGTCTCAGGAAATCATCACCAAAAAATTGAAGAAAAGATGGATCTGGAATATGTTTTACTAATGAAAAATCTGTCTAATCATCAGCATCAGAAATGATAACTTTACAAAGAGAATCCATGAATGTCAGTTCTAAAAGTCAGAAAAAGATGAAGTTGTCTCATGTAACCATTAATCTCATATCAGAATCTCATATATATCTGACAGAGTGCCAATTTTCAGAATAAATAATGCAAGAACTCATTAGTATGACTTCACAGCCTCACAGCGCAAATGCCTTAGAGCTTACCTCATCAGTCTGTTATACTACAGATTTTTTTTCCCCTCATATGTAGTCATATCAATATTTTTGTATATTTGACCATCATGAAAAAATCCCAGGTCAGACTTTTCTATATCATCCACTGTGCAAATTAAATCACTCCAAAATATTCTCTCCTATATTTTGGATCTCATGGTAATGCAGCGATCAACCACTGAATCCAGCCTAACACTAAATGTTGAGGAATTTTCACAAGACAGTATCAAGTCTCACTCTCACTGCTGTCTGTATTCTTAATAAATATCATTTTAATCAAATAAGTAAGATTCATGCTTAATTATGTCTTATCATCCTTCGTCTCACCTATCACTTAACAAACAAACAATCAACACACAACACACACACACACACACACACACACAAACACACAACACAGGCAAACACACACACACACACACACACACACACACACACACACACACACACACACACACACACACACACACAACACACACACACACACACACACACACACACACACACACACACACACACACACACACACACACACACACACACACACACACACACACACACATCACACACACACACACACACACACACACACACACACACACACACACACACACCACACACACACACACGCACACACACACACACACACACACACACACACACAGACACACACACACACACACACACACACACACAGTATCAAGTCTCACTCTCACTGTTGTCTGTATTCTTAATAAATATCATTTTAATCAAATAAGTAAGATTCATGCTTAATTATGTCTTATCATCCTTCGTCTACCTATCACTTAACAAACAAACAATCAAACACACACACTCAAACACACACACACACTCACACACACACACACACACACACACACACACACACAACACACACACACACACACACACACCACACACACACACACACACACACACACACACACACACACACACACTCGCACCCACTCACACATATACAACATATGCACACATACTATCAAGTACAAAAATAGAATTACATACACATGTGCATACATATCCTTATGAAGCACTAAGGAAATTATCTAATCAAGATGATGGTACACAAAGAGATGTGGAATTTCCTTTGTTGATAGTAGTTCAAGAAATTTATTATTTTCCATTACATGTCCATATACTTCATCACCTCAATGAACTTGTGCCATTAATTTTACATGTAATTACGAACCCTCAAAACTGATAACAAGATTACATATTCCATGAAAAGATGCAATAGGTAAGTGTTCTAAACTCCAACATAAACTCAGATCTAAGACTTACCTACACTCCTCCCACGCGTGACTAATCTGGATGCCTCAGAGATGAACCTATCAACAAGTGCTTGACACTTCTCCCACAGATTCATGGGCACTTCACATGCTGAGCTCACTAGACACATCCCCATTAGTGGAGAATGTAGGAATAAGGTGAACAAGTTTCCTCGGTGGTGCTGATCTGTTTCAAGGAAATATTTTTCTATTATCAAATATAATAACAACAAAATTGGTGCTCTTTCCTTGTGATCCAAAGTAGGCTTCTTTACTATTTGTTATTTCTTTCTCAAATATCAATAATAAGGAATATCACAATAAAATTCTTAGTTATTCATATACAACCTATATAGAATGAATTTAATTTATTAATAAAAAAATTAAACCATTGGATGCAGATGCTTCATTGCCATCAAAATATGGGCATTGGGCTTATATGCGCGGACACTCTGCTTGCAGGCTATGTGCGGTAACAAGACTCCATGCCTCCCCTTTGCAATGTAATTTAGTTTTTTATTATTTTTGTAGGTAGTCTATAACAATTAGTAACATCTTGTTATTAGAGGATTTTTTTATATTCATTTTTTTGTAATACAACCTGCACTGCTGGTCATGGTGGACAGAAAAATTATCCTAAGAATGAAAATAACATCCTCCCAGGAACCAGTGCTCTTCCAATCATAGCTCATGGACATTATATTTAACACACTTATCAATGAAAATAATGCTGCAAAAGCCCTTCCTCAATGCTAAATGAGTTTAATTACCCTCCCAGAGGTATTGTGTACTTGGGCAAGTCTTGTGTGTTAATCTAATGGCAAATTCATGTCACCCTGGTACCACAGCCAAATTTCCCATGATGGCATGTTCATATCACCTGTCCCTCAAAAAAAAAAAAAAAAAAAAAAAAAAAAAAAAAAAAAAAAATTAGGTGGATCTGGGTACTTGCACATGTCTACAGTAATAACTATGTAAGTTTAGACCCAATCTCTAGTTATTTTTTAGTGCAACTGGAGGGTTAAATATACCTGCATGTATTTTATTTGATTCCCCCCCCCAATTTTTTTTTCCATTACCTTACAAAAGTTCTAAAATCAGGATCCTGTCAAGACTTTATTCTGAAGTTTCTAGTGAGACAAATAAAAAGGGTAAAAAAGGACTATCTAAAAAATAATAATTATAAATAAAAGAAAAAAAGAATCAACTGTCTCCTCTGCATGTGCAAATTTAATCAACCACATAAAAGGTTTTCTACAGTGTTTTTTCTTCTGGGATGTAAATTTAGAATTTTTCTGACAAATGCAATTTCTCCACAGACTACCTTAAGAAAAAGTAAAATAACGTATTTAACTCACCATGAAACTGAGATGGTGTATCTTGTGGTGACATCAAAACCACAAGAGGCTGACCAAAGTAGTGTGGCATATTTGCAAAAACTGGCGAGTTATCGGAATCCACAACCAGAAACAAAGGCTTGCGTGTGAAAGCATACAGGTCCCCAGGATAAAAACAATGCATATCCTTTAGTTGCATGACACGCTTATTTGAGTGATCGGGATCTCTTTTGCTGTTTGTAACAACTCCACCATAATCATAACCAGCTGAAATATATTGCAAGGATCACATCACAGACTAGATCACACTTTATAACTATAATTCTTTTGATTAACGGGATTCACATGTCCTGACGTTTTAATGTTAAGGTACCAAAAGCACAGAAATATTATGTCAATACACTTACGGTCCTGAGGGTGCTTGGAGGTAGAAAATGCTCCATCTGCAGAAATATATAGGAGCATTGCACCATTGGCTGGAAGTTCTTTAAAGCCTGATGCTAGAAATACCATTAGCTGAGAAAATGTAGGTTTATAGAGTAGGTATTTGTGTGGATTTTCTCGTTTTAGTGTTCTGCTTCCTGTATCTCCATTCTGTTGGGACAAAATACCAGAATATATCATTGTTAATTCTAATGA